GGCTATCGGTTGACGTTGAAAACAAAATAATTAGGTATTCTGATTAGTAAATGAATTTCGATTTTCGATTGATCTGCATTTTAGATTTTAAATATTTATTGATAGTTCGTCAAAGGATTTATTTATTGTAAATATTCAATTAGTAATTCTTCTTCTTATTCAAAATTATTGACCTAACATAAAAATAATAATTTTATCTTCAAAAAATGCACATTTGTAGAAGATGCAGCTTTTATGGTCCAATTTCTGAATATTGCAATGATTGAAACTTCTCCTGGCGCATTTCTGTCCGTTTTGACTTCTTCTACTGCAAGTACTGACATACTGCCACCGCCACCCAAGCGTCAAAAGGTGTGAAACGCTCAATACTCCGGGAGTATTGGGTTTTTTTGGAAGTGTAGAACTTGCAAATTTCAGAAGAACTGGAAGAGAGGTGATGAAAAAAAAAATACTAAAAATATGGCTAAGCTCAGAGGAACAAAGTTAAATAGCCAAAGAGACGCTAAATCTCAAGTGAGTGTTCGGGCTAGCTTCAATACACTGGATTGTGGCTTTAAAGATATAAACAACAATAACAAGAGATAATGAGCTAATGAGACAAGAAAGAAATGAGACCTGGTAATATCAAACGTGATACAACTGAAGAAAGTCACTGGGAATAAATGTATAGAAAGAGAACAATAAGAAGGGAAAAGAAGGGCGCCAACTCAACGATAGTTGAGATTTTGAAGTAACAAATGAATCTGGAGATAATACTCTGAAATACAAAAATACTAAATAATAATCTTGTTTTGCTATGTTATATACTGGTTAGTAGAACTGAAATAAAACTCAAAATAGCAACAATAAATATATTTATAAAAAATGTATATAGGTATATGTGTATAAACAATTTACATATAATGCAAAGCTAAATAACAGTGGTAGTGGATGGTGTAAAGATACAATAGGACCTAATAGCCCCTCAACAAATGAATAGTCACTACCACTGGCCAAATAAAATATGAAATATTAGTATACAACAAGAATAGTCCGTATTGTAGCCAAAGTCTTAACACAAAAAGGTAGTCATTTAAATTTAAATTAGTTCTACTAATATGAGATACTAATGACAATATTATAAAGATATCAACTCGATAAATCTATTACAATTATATTATATTACATCCAAAAAATGAGTTGTTCCATACTCATTATATCATAAAAAAAAACCACATGAAATTTATGTCCCTTCCCAATATCAAAATTGTATTATATCCAAAAAAATGTATTCTATTAAAAAATATATATATTAAATCAACAAGTGAGTTCGGTCAGACTCTTGAAATCCTAACTAAAACCTAATAACACATGAAGTGTCCCTTTTCCTCCCCGAATATTTTATAATTAAATGATCAAAAAAAAATGTTCACCTTGTCATATGCATATGAAGAGGGTATACTACTAAATAGGAAGTAACAAAAGTTAAACAGTAAATAGATAGTAATACAAAAAGTCAAATAGTTAAACAACTTATCTTTACAGCACTATAAGTCCATAGGAAAAACTCCTCTTGGCACGGCTACATCAGTTTATGGCTGTAAAGACGAATCCTGGACACAAAACCACAACCAGTCACTGGTCTCTGGGTGACAGCAAAATCCACGGGTTACTAACTATTTAAGGATTTAGTTACTTGAGTCCTTGAGGGAATATTCTGAAGAGAATATCCTCAAGTGAAGTGAAATTAATATTTTCACGTGACGGAATCTAAAATTATTATTTAATTTAATAAATATGTAATATAAATGTAGCAGCATGGATTGACTGCACCAAAACAAAACATCAAAATATCAGGTATTAGGTTAAGTCAACATCATGTCAAATTTATGAAGTTACTTTCGTAGGCATGGCAAGCTTGCGCCATGAAAAGAACATGCGCAGAATATAGAAGGCTGTCCACATTTGTAGAACCTTTTATATTCCACCAAAAAAGTTAGGTAAAAAAAAGAACCAAAAAAAAACTTAATGATAACGACATGGAATAAAACAGAATTTAAGTTTAACTATATAAAAAAAATGACCTTCTGTTCTTTGCAAGTAAATCAAGGAAATTTTATATTTAAATTATTTCGGAACTCAAAAATAAATCTCTAAAGAAATACTAAATACAATGATACATTTGATCGTATGATAAAGAGATAATACGTATAAATGATTTACTTACATGGAGCCGCACCACGCCAAAAAAATCTTCCTTTTTATGTGGAACTCTTATAAATCGAAAATCTTGATTTTAAAAAATTTACTTATTATATTATTATTAATGAATTATATTCTTCCCCAAATTATTTTTCTGCTCCAATTCCGTCACTTTGAAGGTGAACAATTTCACCGGCTGACGTGGCTGCGTTAGAGTTCTGACCAAAACTAACCGCTTCGCTTCCGCACAAAATCGATCTTCCTTTCAAAGCGATAACAGCGCGTGTGGGGAAAATGTCGATTTCAAATCGATCGTAGGCGGGTAATAAAATTTCTAAAGGGGTTAATCAGTAGCGTAAACGCTACAGGTGGTGGATACTTCCATTCATAAAAAAATTATATAAAAAAGAAACAAATAGATATGGATTTACTAAACCTATGCAAAGACTAGTTTCATTCGTTTTCCATAGTTGAAGAACGAGCTTTTAAAAAGTTTGCAGGGTGGATTCCTGGATATAAACCGCCAACAAGAAAAACTTTGTAAGGTTCGTTACTTTAGGAATGTTATATCAAAACTGAGCAAATTATTAGATCACAAGTTGTTAAAGAAGTAGAAAATATCGTATTACTACTGACCTCTGGACATCTGGAGTAACTTAGAGTTACATCGCATTAACAGGACATTATTTACCCGAAAATTTACAATTTAAACCGGTTTTATTGGCTGCTGTCATTTTTCTAGAAACCATAATTCAGAAACCATCGGTTTTGAAATTAGTGAAATTATTAATCAGTGGGGCTAAAACAAAAAGTAAATTTTGCAGTAACTGATAATGGCTTAAATATAGTCAAAGCTATTAAAGATGTTTTGGAATGAAAACATTTAAATTGTTTTGCTCATACGTTAAATTTATTGGTGGAGGACGCGCTTAAATGCTGCGTGTACAAATAGATAAAATAAAAAGTTTTTTTTCGACATTTCGGCAAAAAATACATTTCAAAAAAAGTATTTTATCGTCAGAAATGTTTTTAAAGTATCAATTAGAATATAAAAAAGTTCCCAAACGGCCAATCCAAGACGTAAAAACTAGGTAGAACTTCACCTATTACATGTTAAAAAAAATAACCGAGTTAGAAGAGGCAATCCGTTCCACATTGGTATTAGTTAATACATACTTAGACTTAGAACAAATCTAAATACTGAAGACTGGATTATTTGTTCTAAACTTTCCCAAATTTTACGGCCGTTTAAAGAAATAACAAGTACAATGAGTGGCCAAAAATACTTGAACTGTGATATGGTACGCTGATATGAATAAATATAACACACAATATATTAACGTAAAAACCAACACGATACAATTTGAATTTAAACAGACTATTTTTTTTTATAGCAAGTTTGGATCTGTAACATGAGAATCTGTCTGGCTTAATATTGTCCTGAAGTTATTTTTTGTGGTATTTTAAAGTAATTACTATTTAAATGGGAATAAGCCACAACTAAAGGTTAAATCACCTTTATTGACGTTTCAATTCAAAAACATTAGTAAATTAAACAAATTTTGTTTTTTTTGTTACTAGGTAAAAAATTTTTCTAATAATTTAATTTTATCTGACTTATTTGTATTGACAATTCAGACATACATTATACATTTTAAAGTAGACGACTTTAAAATGTATAATACAACTCAACAATATTGGCAATATCATTTTAAAGTCGTCTACTTTAAAATGCATAATGTATGTCTGATTTGTCAATATAAATGAGTCAGATAAAATTAAATTATTAGAAGTATTTTTTCACCAAGTAACAAAAAAAAAAACAACATTTGTTAAATTTACCTAATGATTGTATTTTGGAAACGATTTCCGAAATGTAAATTGAAACGTCAATAAACATACTTTAACCTTTAGTTTGTGGCTTATTCCCATTCAGATAGTAATTACTGTCTGGTTTGAGGCAATAAATTATATTTAATAGCCTCTTGACGAATGAGAGGGCGAATATCAACACGTACGTATGTTTACAGATGGGAATTTGCTAAACGAATGAACTTTAATAATAATAATAATAATCCACAAGGAAAAAGAAATTCTTGTTATCTGTATAAAATGAATCAAAAAAGTTTTATTTAAAAATCCTTTATACAAGTTATACAAGATACAATGTACACATTTTAATAAGAAATTCTTGTTAAAAATTGTGCCGTATTATTTATTTATCATACAAAAGGGCCGTTTTATACAATCACTCATTGATGTTATACCAGGCAAATATTATACATAATTTTTACGTAGATTAAACATATAAGACATAAGCTTATCGGAAACTTGAAACTACGGCATAATTCGAAATATAAACAATTTACTTGCTGGCATAGAAATATCATGATACATCAGAATCAAAATTACATTTAAATATATCTATTACAAAAAAAAAAAACTAAGTTTTTATACTTCGTTTTAATTTTGTTAATATATTTGTCTGTTCTACCCTTAAAATATCTTTTGCATTTTTAAATGTGAGAATGCATATTATTATAAAATGTACATCAAGTTAGCTATATATTAAATAATTGTCACAAACCTGTATGACTTTAATATTGTCCCAAATTTCAATAGCTATTAACCACTTAATCATTATATTACTTATACTATCAATATATTGTTATTTTCAAATTAAAAAACCAAACACCAAGAATAATTTCAAGCGAACAATCAAACTTTCCCCATAATGAAACCCTTCATCTCAATGTGTTTACTTTGTAATTAAATCCTCCAACCCTATTAAAATTAAACATTGACCCTTTCGGTTTCAGATCCGTCTCCCCGAGCTCAAATATATGCTGAAGACCGCAATCATCTCGAAATCGTCTTACCCATGGTCTGGAAAAGCCACAAAGAGACTTGCAGTTCTTGCCTCGACCACGCTTTGTCTGCTGCTCGCCAGACTTCAAATTATGGGGTCCCAACTGCCGGTTTTTACCAGATTTGACAACCCTGCCTCGGTGGCAGTCACGCCCACTAGACAGCTGACTTATCACTATTTAATTAGTGTAAATTTGTGGTTGTTGCTGTTTCCTTGTGATTTGTGTTGCGATTGGACTATGGGCACTATCCCTTTAGTTGAGACATTTTTTGATATGCGAAATCTAGGCACCCTTACTGCTTACGGATTCGTGGCAGCCCTGTTGATGAAGGCATTTACCACCGAAAATAAGCTTCAGAGTACCATCTTGCTTATGGTAAGTGTTTTTATTGTATAATTTTATATCTAGACAATATTGTTCAACAACCCAAAATAACTTACGGTATTACTAAATAGTCTTTATAAATAAAATAAAGATTATAATAAATTAAAATGTTATATAGAAAATTAATCACTATACTCTGACGTTTTTTGGAGATGGTAATTCATTGTTACGAACTAATTTTAAAACTGTCCACTATTACGAAATTCCATAATTTCAGCGGCATTCCAGATATTTCGTTACTTTTTTTTAGAATTTAAATATTTTATTAGAAAATTCAATATATCGTTATGTCTCTGTACGTGGCTTTGTCGTTCTGTGGAGGATGGATGATTTCAAAACAGTGATAAGTTGGAGAAGATTTCTCATTTTTAATGAGAGCATTACGTTTTGATGCCATAGCTACGGAATAGAATGTAAAAAAATGGATCGCTTGGCCCCAATAAGGAATATTTTCGAGGAGTTTGTGTCTAATTGCCAAAAATGCTTCTCGCTTGGAAAAAATTTTACAATTGACGAGAAACTAGAGGCATTTCATGGAAGATGCTCCTTTATTCAATACATCCCCAAAAAAAAACCAATAAATATGGGATCAAAATTTTTGCCATGGTTGACGCCCGCATTTTTACATTTATAATAGGGATAGGAAAAACCTACCGGTTTTAACCGAAAACCGATTTTTTTACTTCGAAATAACCGGTTTTATCGGTTGTTTTTTTGTCCCGGTTATAACCGGTTTTTTATTTTTAAAGTAAAAACCGGTTATTAGGTTTTTACAGTGATTAGGATTAGGTTAGGTATTATTTTGGATCCCAACCAATCATAATTATTATTCTCAAGTAATTATTCCAAACAAAACTAAAATTCAATTTTTATTTTATTTTATAAATACAGAAGCAAACTGAAAGTCACTCACATCAGCCAGAAACAATTAAATTTTAATATAGTATTTCGTTGAAAAAGTATTTGTAATCATAATATTCTTACATAAGAAGTGATCTGGTATTTATACATTATCTATTTTTCACACTTGACTCTTGACATTGAAAGTGGGTAAATGGCTTTTTCTGATTAACAAAAATAATGACTATAAATATCGAGTTACCGATTACGAATACGAATCTCCAAGGATTTCCCTACGTTTTCAAAACGATTTACTCGTAAATGGGTTAAAAGTAATACATGATAATTTTTTTTTGACGGTAGTAAAAATAAAAGATGAATTGCATTATCCAATTTATTTTTAAGTAAAATATTTATGTTGATATTATTTTCTTTAAATCCCATTTGAAAGAGTCTGGGAAATTTTTGTTGGGGAATTTTTTTCTCAAAAAACACAAAAAATTGTGTTGTATTTACATTGATATTGATGTTCTTTCGATAGTACTAATTTTGATCATATTGATATCGAGTCGAATGTAGTATCGCAAACTAAAGTGCATTGTAAATGTAACTTTCTAATCTATTGGAATAAAAAAAACCGAAAATCGGTTTTTGGAAAAACCGGTTTTTTTGGACGGTTATAACTACCAGGTTAAACCGTAAGCAAAACAAAACGGTATAACCGAAAACCGGTGTTTTGTCAAAAATCCCTATCCCTAATTTATAACATGGAAATATATGCAGGAACTTAACCAGATGGCCCATTCTCCATAAGTAACAAACCATGAGACGTGATAAAAAAGGTTGGCAACACATGTATTTAATACGGGGAGAACACTGACAACTGGTTTTCTGATTTTGATTTAATAAAAGATCTTGATGAGAAAAAAATTGCCTTTGTAGAAACGATGAAAAAAAATAAGGCCCAAATTCCCAATGAATTTAAAGTTATTACTATTTAAATGGGAATAAGCCACAATTAAATGTTAAAGTTTATTAATAAAGTTAAAACATTAAAGTTAAACAAAAATGTTTATTGACGTTTCAATTTCCACTTCGGAAACGATTTCCGAAGTGTAAATTGAAACACTATAGCCGCGATCAATAATTATATAATCTTCTTCTTCTTCACGTGCCATCTCCGCTACGAAGGTTGGTTATCATCATGGCAATTTTGACCCTGGAGGCTGCCGCTCGGAATAATTGTATGGAAGTGCAAGCAAACCACTCCCTGAGGTTTCTCAACCATGACATTCTTCTCCTACCTATGCTGCACCTACCTTCAATCTTTCCTTGCATAATTAGTTGTAACAGTTGATATTTATTCCCACGTGTAATATGTCCCAGGTATTGTAGTTTCCTCATTTTAACACTCAATACGACCTCCTTTTGTTTGTTCATCCTGTCTAATACAACTTGGTTCGTTATCTTATCCTTCCAGGAGATTTTTAACATTCTTCGGTACGCCTACATCTCAAATGCCTCCAGCTTACCCATACATTGCTTATTTAGTGTCCACGCCTCCACTCCATATAACAGGACCGAGAAAACATAACATTTAAGCATTTGTATTTTCAGTTTTAGGCTTAGGTTTCGGCTACACAACATTTGTTTCATATTGTTAAAGGCACTGCGGGCTTTCTCTATTCTTATTCTTATTTCTCTGGTGTATTCGTTTGACTCGTTAATATTTGTTCCGAGGTAATTGTAATTTTGTACTCGTTCAATGAGATTCTGTCCTACATGTAAGTTGATATTATTGATACGTTTCTTTGTAATTATCATGAATTTGGTCTTCTTTGTATTCAGTGGCAGAGCAAATTCTTCACTTGCTTCTACCACTTTGTTTAGTAATCTCTGTAGGTCGTCAATATTTTCTGCTATGAGCGCGGTATCATCAGCATATCGGATATTGCAAATGGGGTGACCGTTGATCTTTACTTCGGCTTTTTCATTCATAAGAGCTTTTTTAATAACTTCTTCCGCGTAGACATTGAACAAGGTTGGAGACAACACACAGCCCTGCCGAACACCTCTTTTGATCTGTATTCTATCTGATATCTTCTATCTGTTAATTCGTACTATAGCTTCTTGTTTGTAGTATAGATTCCTTATCACTCGCATGTCCCTTGTATCAATATTTTTATTTTCCAGTATTTGCATCAGTGGCCTATGTTTTACTGTATCAAATGCTTTGTTATAGTCTAGGAAACACACAAATATGTCCTGATTTACGTCTAAGCATCGTTGTGTTAGAACATTAAAAGCAAACAGTGCCTCTCTAGTTCCTAGTCCGTCTCTAAAGCCAAATTGAGAGGGTCCGATGTCAACTTCCAATTTTTATATATTCTCCGATGAATGATTTTTAAGAAGACCTTTAATATATGACACATGAGACTGATGGTGCGATGTTCCCAGCATTGTCTCGCATTAGACTTTTTGGGTATGGCTATTATTGTTGTTACTAGCCATTCATTAGGTATGATACCAGATTTGTAAATGCTGTTAAATAGTTCCACGAGCTTCATTAAGTTGTTGCCTTTGATAAGTTTAATTATGTCTATTGGTAGTTCATCTGAGCCTGTAGCCTTCCCCGATCTCATTTCTTTAATCGTGTATTCCACTTCATCTCTTGTTATTTCTGGTCCTGTGTCACTGTTTATGTATTCGTTATCTACATTGTCTCTTTGATCTTTAAACAGTTGTTCTATGTACTGTTTCCAGACTCTTAATTTTTTCTTCTGTGTCCATAATAATGTTTCCACTTTCGTCTACTAATATGTTGTGTCTGTTACTTTGTCTCCTCGTCAACTCTTTGATCTTCCGATGTGCATTAAAGCTGTCGTATTTAGTTTGTAGTTCTTCGATTTCTTCGCATTTTTCCCCGTACCAGTTTTCTTTAGCTGTGCGTATTTTTAGACGAATTTCTTTTTGTATCTCTTTATACTTCTGGTTCTTTTTGTTTTTCTGTTTTCTTCTTTCATCCATTAAGTTCAGTATCTCATCTGTCATCCATTCTTTTTTATATTCTTTACTTTTATGGAGGTGACTTATGCTTGGTTTCATTAACGCTGTTTTAATGTCTGTCCAATTCTATATAATCTATTCTACCCATAATAACGAAAAAATACTTAAAAAAAATCACCTTCGACTACTTTCAAATGCTCTTGTGAAAAAAAAAACGTCGAACGAAGAACACAAAAAATGAGCCCTTCAAAATGAGCTCAAAGAAAAAATTTCAAAAGAAAAGCAGAATTAGGTATCAAGACAGTAGAGGAGGCCACAGCAAGTAAACGAAGATGTCAGCCTCGTCAAAATTATAAACGTTCAAGGATCACGCGCTTCAGCTGCGAAATTTGTAAGAAATTCATCTGTGTAATGTGCAATATCTAGGAGACATCTGGGATTTATGACACCGTTGTTGTTTTTAATGAAATTCAATAAAAAATTTTAAGAAATACAGTTTATCAATCTTCCACCGAATATATTTTGTATTAATATTACAATATTTCATTACCTCTATCTTAAAATAACTAATTAGCATTTAGGGTATCTAGGAAATACGCGCGACCATTCTTGTTGGTACAAAGGCCGCGACCGCTGGAAGGTTAAACGAAGCGAACAGTTTTTGTAATCAGTGTTTAAATTATCGTTGTTATAGTATCAGCTGTTAAATTTTTGTTACATTACTTCGTTGTATTAGTTTTCGTACTGATTTTGTTAATTAGTTATTATTGTGTAGTAAGACAAAATCGGTTAAATTTAGCTGATTTCCTGTATATTGCATTAGTTTTTCGTAGAATAAAAATGGATATAACCAGTGGTATAAGTACACGACATCCACGTTATAGACCCGTCTCACAACAGGAAAAACAAATTATCTGCAAGGTATATGATGGACTAAAAAAGCCATACCTTCAAGGAAAGTTGTTACTCGTTGTTCTTTTTCAACAGTAGTATCAGTGGCAACAGTTGAACGAGAACAGTATTGTGTACGAGAAAAATCTCATAAATGATTTTAAACCTCCATCTACAAATCAGTACGGACGACTTAAATCTTTATTTAGTAAAATAGACGAAATATATAGTTTTCCTAAAAGAAGTTGTGCATT